GGGAGAATGTTATGACTTTATTTCTGGGCTGCAGATGCTATACAAGTCATATGGGTAAAAGTGAATGCCTTTTGATGGTCTATTTCCATGCATAAGGGGGGTGGGACTAGCTGTAATGAACCAAGGGTGATCCTTACCTCTACAGGTACTGTATATGCCTGATTTCCCTGAGAGTGGAGTCTAAGGGATAGCTGGTGTTCCACCAGGGACCTTCTTGTGGAAGTTTGGACTTTCCACTTAACCCCATGTCACCCATCAGATACTCACAGATGTGGTAGAGAGAAGAACCGACTGCTCAAAGTGTCACATACCTGACAGATCGATAGTTGTGGAGGCTTCCCTACAAGAACTACTCATGGGTTGAAGGAGGAAGGAAGAGCCTTGGTGACTCAACCATGGGAAGACCATTGAGCCAAATAAATGTAACATTATGATCTCTGTTGCCTGGTAAAAGGTGGGCAGGCCCTGTGAACATGTAGGACTCTTTTTGTGGTATAAAGGAGGTTAATACAAGTGGGGATTAAAAGAATAAGGCTCTAAAGTCCTTCCCTCCATTGGAGGGGGGCAGAGATGCAATAGCATAAAAAGCACGAGTACAGTAACGGGTATTTGCAACATTTAGAAGGAAGAAGCCAACATGCGAAAATTGTATGTGAACAATGAAATTGGGGGCGCAATGTACATACCTACACAGCACCTAGTACCCTGAGAGACAAGATCCCTGCAAAAACAGCACAGTGGATTAGCAGTAATTTGCCAAGGGTGAAATACATGCCAGAGCAAGGAAAGTTACATGAAGTTGGAGCTATTCCCAGGGGACATATTGCGTGTGCTATAAAAAAAAAAAGTGTTCCCTCCATATGGTCAGCAGAATTAGTCACAGAACAAGAAGAGATTTTCAGGACTCTAAGGTCCACCAAGAAGCCATGGGGAAGCACACAAAAGTCAGGCAGGGAGCAGGTGTGTGGGATAGGGGCCAAATGCCCAAATCCATTCCCTGATGCGAGGCCAATGAGGCAGAGCCAATTATGAGCCATGAAGAAATAATGTCACCAGCACACCATAGTAGTAAAACAATACTCCATTTAATGACACATTGCCATTCGAATGGCAATGTGTCATTAAATGGACTATTGATTTACTACTATGGTGTGCTGGTGACATTATTTCTTCATTTATGGTATACATGGTGCCGTCCGTGGTCACTACGAGCACCCACCCACCCACCCACCCATATGGGTTCCTTCCGGTAAGGAGCGCAGTATTCGCAGGAAGAGGACACCTTCTGCCATTGCTCAGGAAGGATCAGCAGGGTCCAGACAGGTGGTGTCAGGTTTGAAAAAGTGTTTCAATTTCTTTTGCCAACAGTTGCCTCAGCAGGGTCGGTGGCATTGTCACCTTCGGTTTACGCTCTGTGGGTCCTATGGCCTCTGGCATATCTCACAGCTGTATATTATTCTAGCAGTGACAATCTTTGAGATCATCCACTTGGCACATTTACTAGATATAGGTATGTTGGGTGCTTATCACATCCTGCAGTTTAGTAACCGCCTTTTTAAGAAAAGAGGTTGCGGCTTCACTATCATCTAGGATTTGATGTAGGTCTTCCAGGCCTTGTCGCAGATCAGCCATATCATCTTTCATCCAGGAATACATAGCTTTAATGTCCCGCTTGGTGGGGTGCAGGGCAACCTGAACATACTAGAAAATGCAGGGTCATCTATGTCCCAATCATCCTCTGGCAGGATGTCCTCCTCCATGGAAGCTTCAGAATCATGATATCCTGAATGCCATCTTGGTGATGCATGTAGAGGCCGGAGGCCCATCAACACGCCATAAAAAGTTATACTGTATAAATCCCTGCTTGGTGCAGAGGTAGCTGGCTGGCTCCAGGTTCAAGGTTCTTATCCCACAGCATCCCATAGTGAGCAGGCAAAGGGTAATGGCAATGGTTTTCCAAGCTTTGTCTCAGACTGATAGCATGAGCTCTTTCACACAGGTCTGCCCCTGTCCATAATACTCCCCATATGTCTTTTGACATCCATAGACATAAAATACATACTAATGCAGGGGTCTCAAAGTACCGGCCCGCAGACCAACTCTGGCCTGCGAGCCGGTACTATGTTACAAAAACAATCGTGTATCCAGGGAGAGTGATTGATTCCTAACTGCATGTAATGCTTTCACATATGATTACATGCAATGTGCAGGCGTTTACATGCAGCAGCTGTCAGACGATCATTAATTTGAATCGGTGACAGTTGCCGCTTGTAACATGTGCATACATTAAAACTGGTACCGTATATAGTAGCGGCCCCCACGGGACTAAAAAAATGTGTCCAGTGGCCCCCAACTATACTGAGTTTCAGACCCCTGCACTAATGCATTACTAATATTATTTTTTATTTATTTAGAGTCATCATAGACTGAAGTGCTATAAAGTTTGCAGATGTAGCTTACATTCAGATTTCGTTTTGGATATAGTTATGTCAGTTTCAGCACTACAGCGGCTGGATAGTTCCCTTGTTCAGGAGGGTGAAATCTTATTTTAGAGTAAAAAATGAATAAGGCATCTCTGGTATCCCTTTAGATGTGGATGGCGCTTTCTAATCCTGCAATAATACTGTATCCAGTGGCGTAACAACCGGGGGTGCAGCAGGGGCGCGGGGCCCCGGGCGAAAAGTGAAGGGGGGGCGCCGGCCGAAAATGGCACTTTCGGAGTGTTCCACTGGGGAGATTTACCTTTTAAACATTTGGCTTTACATAAGGGTCAATTCACACCAAGATGATCCATTGCTGTTATTAAACGGAAATGCCACCCTTTAGAAAAAAATAATAAATACACACATCTTTATTTAAAAAAAAAACATTTATAATTTTTTTTATTGGAGCCAGTAAGGCATTGCAACCGTGATAAGTAAATCCTGAGTGCAAAGCTCTGGCTCCTGCAAATTCTCCCTCCTGTTCATATATGTACCTCAGTATGGATATTCAGTAACAATGACGGGAGGAAGTATGAATGGACTTCAAGTGCCATAACGTCACTGCACTTGTATTCCATTTAGAATTATAAGTGGCTGATGGGACTTGTAGTTTCTCTATTCAAAGATCCTGTCAAAGGATCTGTGAACGGATTATGCTTCTGCGTGGGTGGAGCCATGCACAGGCACACCAAATTTAAAAACCCACCAGCCTGCGCTGATGAAGAACCCTGCAATTCAGGGGGTG